CAGCACTGAGCAGCCCCTTGGCCATGGTGCGGCAGAGCGCCCCCCCCACCATGGAGCGTCCCCCCCGCCCCGCACCCACCGCTGGACAGGGTGGCCGAGGGTTGCCAGGCAACGGGAAGATGCTTTTTCAGACCAAAACGATAAATCGGCAGCTGGGTCAGGGGTGGGGAGGGACACGGCCGGGATGGGGCCGCCTGGGGAGCACTCGAGGCTCCCCCAGCCCCAACAGTGCCACAAAAATTTGGAGAGGAGAAGCAGTTGTTGCAGCCCCACTCAGCCAAAACCTGCTCTGGTCCCAACCACCGCCGAGGACCCCTGAGCATCAGCTGAGGACGGCACTCGGCCCCGGGATGCCCCTGCCCGGCTGGGGGACAGGGCAGGGACAGGGTGTCCTCCTGCGGGGATGGCCCTGCTGGCCTCCTCCCTCCCCAGCGAGCCCTGGCCCCACCGCATGCCCCGTATGAGATTGAGCCCCTAATCTGCCCTCTCCCTCCCTCACCAGCCATCATGCACACAGCTAAATGAGCTCCAGGCAATTTTCTCAGAAGTTGAATCCTCGCATTGTGGGAACACAGGACTAAAAATAGCCGAGGTCTGTGTGCGCGTCTCACCCAGGTGAATCTTGCTCTGGAGATAATGGTAAAGGAGGCTGCCACCGGCTCCTCTGCATCCAGCCATCTCCCCCCACTCAGTCTCAGTTTCCTGCAGGGATCTTGCTGCCCAAACGTGTGCTGTGCCATCCCCCAGAGCAACCCGTGCATGGCTGCAGCAGCCTGGGGACCCCTGGCCAGAGAAACCCCTGTGCAGGCGAAAGCTCCTGGAGCTTGAACATCCCTCGGCGTGGGCATCGCCAGCAATGGGCAGAGATGCCCTCCGTCTCTCACCTGGCAGCCTCCAAGGGCTGCGCTACATCTGGGCATACTCCGTCCCAAGGGGCTGCGTTGTGGAGAGGGGACGTATCCCCCTGCTCCCCGCCCTGGCCACCACCAGCATCTTCCAATTCAGACGCTCATCTCAGCCCAACCCCAGCCCTCCCGGGTCCAGCCCAGGGTGCAGAGAAGTAGCCGTATTTCCTTCCCACAATGACTCAATTACAAATTCAGAGTTAAATCTTCTCCCACAAGACACCCCCCTCCACCCCTGTGACTACTTCCACTGCTTTGAATGTTGAACACTTTCCAGGGATTTTTCGTGTGTTCAGGCTGACCCCATCCACTCTAGTTCAGACTAACTTAATCAGCCTCATTTTATTGCAAACTGCTGTAGTTTTACACCTCTAGAAAAAGGCACTGCTTAAGTTTTTGGCACCTGCCAAGCTCTCGCCACGCTGCTTTCTCTGCCCCTGTGGGGGCAGGAGGAGAGAGGGCGGATCTGTTTAGTGCTCCCAGCCTTTATTTCTATCAAAAATGACAAATTATTAGAATGGTGGAAATTAGAAAAATGGCATTTAGGTAACAGACAAACCTCCCTCTTTTCTTCAGTTGGCATCTGGTTAAAAGCAGATTTGGAAGTGAAAGGTGGGAAAAAAACAGGGTAATCTTCTGAATGCTGACAGCTAGGCAGGGGGGCTCCCTGAAGGGGCAGGGGAGGGAAATGGCCCAGGAGACACCCTGAGAGCAGCTCATCTGACACCCACATCGCTCACACTGCAGAGCACTTGGGAGACACGTCCTGGCAGCACCGTGGCAGGGGCACAGCTGGACAGAAACCATCGGGTTTGTTTTCATGCCAAAACACTGCTGGAACAGATCACCACCGCTGTGCAGGAACTGGCCTGAGGTGCCGGGGTTTTGCTGGGAAAAGGACTGTGAAATGCAGAAAGCAGCAGGGAGGGCTTTCCACCCTTGCGCTGCCATGGGGCCAGAGCTCAGCTGTGCCCCAGAGAGAGCCCTGAGGGTCTCCTGGAGCTCAGAGTTCCCCCATGAGGGCAGCCCCTGGGCTGTGGGTGCTGGGCACCCGGCCCCCCCGCGAGGGCAGCGCTCCAGCCCACACAGCCCACTGCTGACAGGGAGCACAAAAACATCGTCATATCTTTAATCACCAGCACTGCCGAGAAGGAGCGCAGAGGCCAGGCTGGGGGAGCTGGTGAGGAGGAGGAAGGACTCCCACTGGAGCGTGGGAAGGGGCTCTCCCTCGCCACAGCCCTGTCATGCAGGCGATGCCCCAGCTCAGCTCTGCCCTGGCCGGGATGGCCCAGGTCGTCCCCCCCCACCCCCCAACAGGAACAGCCCCTTTCCCCACGCCCCCTGTTCTCCCTGGGAGATTTGCTCCCACCTCATCCCATGGCTGGTCGGCAGCACCAGGAAAGAGCTTTGAGCCCCTGCAAGGCTGTCAGGAACGGGCAGCACCACCCAGAAGAGCAGTCGCTGCTCTGTGGCTGGGCAACCCCAGGCGCCCAGCTCTGCTCCCCCACCCCTCCACTGCACAGCGAGCCAGTGTGGAAGGTAACAGGGCCCGGGGGATGCCACAGCCACGGCAATAAAAAGCATAGGGAACGCCTTGGGGAAACCAGGAGCCAGGGTACCACCTGCATCTGTTTTAGAAATTACTTTATTGCACTAAAAAGGGGAAGTCATCTGTAAACAAACATTCCATTCAGGTATTAATATATTTTTTCACTCCAAAAATGCATCATTAAATCCAGCCACAGAAATATCAAAGCAGGAACAGTAGAAAATAGCTACAGGGGAGGAAAGACCCAGCCAGGCCACAGTCCCAGCTCCCACACTGCCTGCCCACCCATTGCAGGACCAGGGCTCACAGCAGCACGTCCCAGGGCTCGACTCCAGTGAGGCAGCCCTGGGACAGGTGGGGGGGCAACACAAGCCCCCAGGCCCTTGGGTGTCCCCCCAGGGCCAGCCCCAACCCAAGGAGCAGCCCAGGGCCCTGCTCTCAGCGTTCCCCTTCCCTGAACCCAAACGGACACAGCTCTGCCATGGAGGATGCGTCACCCCCCAACTCTCTCACAGAGCACCAAAATCTTTGCCCAGCTCCTGTTCTCCCTCCCCTTGCAGCCTGGTGGGTGCCCCCCACCCCCAGCAGTGCCTGGGTCCCACCAGCCCCTTGCAGGCACAGCCCCCCCGGGGACCGCAGGTCACTGGTGAGGGGTGCACAGGGCTGTTGGGCAGCAGCCAGCTGGGCAGGGTCCCCTTCCTGCCCCAGGACTGCTCAGGGACATGGCCCATCTCCCCATCCCACCCTCCCCAGAGCCCCCATCTTCCCCCAGGGCGAGCCTGGGCACTCCGGGGTCAAGGAGTGTCCCCCGTGTTGGCTCCTGGGGGAGTGGTGGGAAGCCTCAGGTGGGAAACCCCCCACGAAGGAGGGATGTGTCTGCTCCTTACATCCTGCACGGTTTGTTTTCAGCCACAAGCTCGACAAACAGCCACGATCACCCCAAATCCCCACGACATGCAAACACCGTGCTATCAGAACCATGCCTCGCGTACCTGAAACATATTTACAGACATAAGTAAAACACGCTGGGAAAGATCAGCCTCGGATATAAATAGCCAACACTGAAATCTGCCATCTGCTGCAAAGGACAAAGAAGGAACATCAACTGCCACCGACAGAGGTTAATACAGAGGGACACATGTGTGCGTGTGTGTCCACATGTGCTGCAACAGGCAGGGACAGGAGCACTGCAAATTCTGCTCCCTTCCAGAGAAACATGCAGAGCCCGATGCAATGGGTAACACCACACCAAACAACAACAAGGTGTCTGTTTTATCCATCCGCAGAAATGCCCCGGCTGGCATTTCTCCCACTCCCAGTGCCTTCAGCCAGTCAACTGGGATGGCAGGGAGGGATGGGAAGCGGTGGGAGCACCCCACTCCGCCCAAAAGGGAAACTGCAGAGCCAGGCTAGTCCCTTTCGGGAGCTGTGTCCCGCCAGGCACAGGGGCTTCGTGGCCCCATGGGACACATCCCTCCGGCCAGGCGGGTGCAGCTGCTCACAAGCCCCCGAGCCCCCACAGGCAAGAGAGGGCAGAGGGTAGGGGAGCCTCAGCCTGCCTCCTGCCCAGCAACACCAGGGGATGTCCCCAGTGCCAGCCAGACTGCCAGCACAGAGGGAGGCTACTCCTGTCGCCTTGGCTTTTGTCAGCAAGGACATCTGCTGGGACACTGCCCGGGACCACCCATGTGCCCAGGGTGAGGGGTGCCAGGCCCCCCATGGCAGTGCCAGCCCCTGGCATCTCCCTCCCATGGCTAGGGGACAGGCACAGGCAGCCTCCTGGATTTGAGCAAACCCAAAGCCCCTAAAGCTGCATGAGCCATTTCCTGCAGGGGGTCAGCAGCGGGGGACACTGCTGGGGGTGGGCAGGGAGGGCATGCTGGGAGGCTGCAGGTGTCAGACCAAGCTGACTTGCACATCTGTGCAGTCCCGCAGGGCTGGGAGAAGTCCAGGAAAGGCTCAAAACCCACAAACCTGACTCATCCCCCAGGGTCACCTCCCTTGGCCCACTCGTGGGTCACCTCTGCAGTATTTTCTCTGCAGTTTCCAAGACTAGAAACTTGTCTTTTAAATTAAAGCCAAGATCAATGGTACCACCTGACTCCAGGAGCTGGGGCTTTGAGAGAGGTGGCAGTAAGTATGCTACAGAGATCTACCCACCTCCAACCTTCATGCTGGCCAGCTGGAGACCACAGGCACCAGGGAGGGAAGAGCCCAGCAGTTGACATCCATCCTTCCCGGTGGAGATGGGGCCGGTGCCTCCCCACTGGGCTCCGGGAGATGCAGCCCCAGGAGGGAGCAGGGAGGGAGCAGAGGGGAGAGGCTGCAGCTGCCAGCCCTGCCTGCTCTACTGCAGGAGGGCTGGTGCTGGCAGAGCCCCACAGCAGTGCCACCCCCGGGGACCCCCACGCTCTGCCATGGCCCCGTCCCTCCTCCAAGGGCCTTTCCAAGCCCTCCTCCAGCAGGGCTGGGGGACAGGGCCGGCCTCCCCCCCCTCGCCCCGGCCCCACAGGCAGACAGCTCCCTCCGGGGCTGGCAGCAAGCGCCTACAGGCAGGACAGGAGGGCGGTGAGCGGCAGCTCCTTCTCTCCCAGAAGCGTGTCCCGCTTAAGGCTGCTGCCCTTGTTGACCACCTTGAGCTTCAGGGACATCTTCCTGGCATGGCCGGGGCCCAGCCCATCAAAGAAGAAGTCCTCGTTGAAGATGGGGTTGCGGCTGTTCTTGACGATGGTGCTGCGCTGCTTCTGCAGCTTCCCGGGGTTGAGGCACAGGGAGACGCAGCAGTTGATGCTGCGCAGGTCGACGAGGGCATCGTAGAGGTCCTCGGCGGAGACGAGCCGCACGCGCAGCCGGGCGTTGGAGGGGTCGTAGTCAGCAGCCAGGCGCAGGCTCCCACCCCGGCTGAGCCGCAGGCTGTGCTCCCGGTCGCGGCCCGGTGGCAGGTCCAGGGGCAGCAGGGCAGTGGGTGGCTGCCCCCCGGCTGGGGCACTCCTGGCGCGGCGCTGGGCGCTGGGGCTGGTGTCAGCTGAGCTGTCGTCAGTGGACAGCGAGCTGTTGCGGGCCACTGAGTGCTTCAGCTTGATGACCTTGGACTGGCTCTCCTGGCTGAAGATCTTCAGCAGGGAAACAGAGCGGGAAAGCAGCGGGGAGCCGAAGGGCGAGGACTCGGCTGAGGAGCACGTGTCGCTCTCGCCACCGCTGAAGTAGCGGCCAGGGTGCATGAGGGCTGCGCCCAGGTCAGCGGGCGCCCGGGGCCCGCTCTCACCATTGAGCTTGGCTCTGCGCTGGGCGCTGGGCGAGGTGGCCGGCGAGGGGCAGAGGCTGCTGTGCTCACTGTGGAAAAGCGACTCTTTGCGCCGTGTGTGGGGACTCTCCACCAGCGTGGCAAAGCCATAGGAGGTCTGTGCCTTGGGCACGTAGGGCAGCGACATGGCCGTCTGCGCCTGCGGGTCCACGTTGGTGCCGAAGCCCCCGTCGGCCGTCCAGTCCTCAGCACTCTCAATCTGGATGATGTGTCGGCCAGCGGCCCGCGGCCGGGACCGGCTGGACGGCCGGGGGCTGCGTGGGGGTTTGCGCCCAGCCAGGTCCTGCTCTGAGGCTGAGGGGCCCAGGGCGGGTGCTGCAGGGGGCTCAGGGCCCTCAGTCTCGGCGGGCGCCGCACTCAGCTTGGGTGGGATGAAGAAGTCGGGGATCTTGTCGGGGGTGAGGACGTTGCTGTAGCGGGACCCCCGTGGGGACTCTTCTGGCCCTGCGCCCCGGGACCCGCCATTCTCCGCCACGCCGCGCAGCCGCTCCAGGAGCCACATGTTGCCGCTGAGTGCGGGGCTGGAAGAGACCCAAAGGGCAACGCTGTCACCGGGGGCCAGGCACCGGCAGCCCGGAGCCATCAGCCTGAAGGGTGAGCAGCGGCACCGAGAGACCGGGACCCCCCAGCCCGGGGGGACGGGGACAAGGATAGGAAGGAACTGGCCACACCGAGGGACACGGGGACCCGCCAGCCCGGGGTGGGGGACGGGAAAAAACCGGCCGCGCCGATGGGCACCGAGACCCGCCAGCCCGGGGGTGGGGAACGGGAAAGTACCGGCCGCGCAGAGGGAAACGGACCCGAGGGACACGGACCCGAGCGATGGGACGGGACGGGACGGGACGGGACGGGACGGGACGGCCGCGGCGCACGGGGAGCCGCTGCCGGCCGCGACGCGATGCGATGCCCGGACGAATGAACCGACCGACCGGCGCCGCCGCGAGCGGGAAGTTGCCGGGAG